TACATTTCATCTGGAATTAGGTTTCATTTTTCCTGTACAACAACCTTAGAATCAGTATTTTGGATAGAACATTACTGCATCTCTGTAATCCATTTACATCTTTGTAAATAGACTAAAGCTTTGTATTGTCCATGTTGGCTGATTTTTTTTTAATTTTTTTTTTTTTACTTCCTTTCTTCTTTCCCTGACTCTCTCATTCTGCACCCGTTCTGGTGGTTGTATTATAATTTTATTTATTTGATTTGTTTATAATATTCCTTGGTTTACTTGGTTTGTTTTTTTTTAACATGAAAAATTAAGGCGAACTAAAACAGGTATCATGCAACAGGATGATACTTTCTGTTTGGTTACATTTTCAGGTGGGAAAGATGTAACCCTCATCCCTGAGTGGTGGTCCTCAGGGTATGTCCTTTCAAATAAAAATGTCAACCTCATATCACAAAAATGTAGTGTCTGACTCACCTTTTCCATTGTCCAAGTCACCTCCTGGAGCTGTCCAAGACAAGACTATTGTTTTGTTTTCTATACGAGCATGAAGGTCTGTAACTTTACAGGGTGGATAAACAGGAGCAGAATCTCCTCCTGTGTTCACTACAAGAGAACTTGTTGAAATTCTGCTGAAACTTCCCAACTTCACTTTGATTTCTTTATCTGCAAATTTAGGTCTTGGTGCATTCATATAAATTTTACCTGTTTAAAACATTTTTCAACTTTCATTATGACAGAACTCTGAATTGCATTTTCTTTTAATTTTTATTATCTCTTATTATCTCTTCTCATCCTGTAAGTTTTCTTCAGCTTATTCAAATTTAGTGGAAAGTTAGTGACATAAAGACAGAAAATAAGGTGATCTCAGGATTCTCAGCATAAAATTTAGGAAACCCAAAAAGCAGAGAAGGTCTGAAATGTGTAAAAATTGGAAATAATGCAACCAGTAAAGCAGGTTGCAGATGTTGGTGAGCCATGGCTGCAATAAGGTAGTTCTATCTATCTCTTCACCCATATTGCAGGCCTTAAGAGAGTTTCAGTTATATAGGCCATACTTTATGAGGTTTTTAGACAATTTTTATGCTGATTTTTCTAAATTTCACAATGTATAAGTGTAAGAATATTGAATTGCAACAACTAATATTTTTTTCAGCATTAAGATGAAAAAGTACTAAAAAATCAAGAAATCTCGAAAGCAAAGTTTTCTAGCAGCATTAGTTTGTATACTAATGCTGCATGCTGAATTTATTTACCCCAAATCCCCATTTTAAGGTCTCAAAAAGAATTATAGATTTGAAATTCCTGTTGTGAGATGCTGAAATACAGATTCTAAGCAATATTTATCCTTCTCATGGCTGGGAAAGAAAATAATTTTTAGATTAACGACAACATTTTATGCTACCCCCATACATAGGAAACAGTAGTTGGAGTGGATTTGTTTCGTTTGGGCTTTGTTGTAATGAAAATGATAGGTGGAACATCTTTTAAGATCAAATGCAATTTTTGTGAATCTAAATGATCCCATTTGCTAAACCTTTACACCCCCCTCCATACAAATCATGCAAAGAATTGTCTGTTCATAAACGCTCTTTACCATTTTCTCTGTAGCCTGGTATATACAAGGCTCGATTTTGCTTGAGGCTAAGTCTGGTGGTTGTATTTCTCCCATGGGCATTCACTTTTAGACTGTATCTTCCAGTGCCTTGTAAAGAAGTAAAGTACCTTGAGTAGATTCCATCGTTCTTCATCGTGTCAGCACCTTGGTATTCTAAGCAATTTATCCTTCTCATGGCTGTAAGAGAAAATAATTTTTAGATTAACGACAACATTTTATGCTACCCCCATACATAGGAAACAGTAGTTGGAGTGGATTTGTTTCGTTTGGGCTTTGTTGTAATGAAAATGATAGGTGGAACATCTTTTAAGATCAAATGCAATTTTTGTGAATCTAAATGATCCCATTTGCTAAACCTTTACACCCCCCTCCATACACTGTAAGAGAAAATAATTTTTAGATTAACGACAACATTTTATGCTACCCCCATACATAGGAAACAGTAGTTGGAGTGGATTTGTTTCGTTTGGGCTTTGTTGTAATGAAAATGATAGGTGGAACATCTTTTAAGATCAAATGCAATTTTTGTGAATCTAAATGATCCCATTTGCTAAACCTTTACACCCCCCTCCATACAAATCATGCAAAGAATTGTCTGTTCATAAACGCTCTTTACCATTTTCTCTGTAGCCTGGTATATACAAGGCTCGATTTTGCTTGAGGCTAAGTCTGGTGGTTGTATTTCTCCCATGGGCATTCACTTTTAGACTGTATCTTCCAGTGCCTTGTAAAGAAGTAAAGTACCTTGAGTAGATTCCATCGTTCTTCATCGTGTCAGCACCTTGGTATAGAATTACTGAGAATTAATATCTCAAACAAGATACCTGCCGGTAAACAAGGTTATTTTTGCTATTCATATGTAAACATAAAACCTGAACATTACTATGCAGAAAGCCTGGCAGTGTTTTTGTAATGTGGACATCTTTAAAAACAGGAGTAGTCCCACTATGACAACCTGCATTTCATACGTATTCTGTTAAAAAGAACCATTTTGCATTATCACCTTTAAGTAGGTAAATCTCTTGTTACTATATGGAACCACCAACTTAATACTTACTGGCCATCTACTACATAAAGCACCTTTAAATTAGAAAAATGTCATAATTTAACCTTTGGCCAGGAATTCATCAAGACAGAATTCCTTCTCTTTAAGTGAACTTGTGCAGTTGTACCTGTCTGGCTGCAGTAGATGATCTGCTGGTGGCATCCAAGCTAACTATTTTAAAGCCTGGCAGCAATGTAAAAACAACTTCACGGGTTCAGAAAATAGAAGATGTTTAAGAAACACAGGTTAACACATTGAAATCTTATTGTATTTTTAAGTACAGCAATGTGAAAGCAAGGACAGAATGAGGAGGCACTGCTGGCTACTACTGAACTCGTAAAGCTACAGGTCTACAGCAGTGGTGAGAGAAAAGGAAAGGGAGAGATGAAAAGAGATCGAGGGATGCCGAATGCCAGGAGTTTCTTGCTATTGCTCTAAGAAAGAGTATTCTTGAAAAGAAGAATAATGCACTTATTTAACATACAAAAGAGATAAAGCTAACGTTTGGTGAGCTAATGTTAAGACTGTAGTCCAGCTTCATAGAATATGAGATGGACTAACAAAACAGCTTGTTTTCTTTTTACTTTGCCTCTTGAGGGCAGATGATTACATGAAGTACACTTTCAGAAAGTAGATGTGAGCAATGTACCCTCTACCATGCACAGTTCTTCTGCTTTCACCCTCAATAACAGCACAGGAAAGAAAGCAGAACAGTTTTTCAGGTAAAGGCCCATGTCTTTGTTTTCCTCACCAAGAAAAAGCTTTGTAGCTTACTTCCATCCTAAAGCAGTAGGGTTCTCTGTCTCCCTTTTAATTTTTTTTCTTGATTTAGGGCATAGCCACGACTCAGTCCTTAGTAATAAATCTGAGGGGAACATGCAGACTTGTATTCCAAAATGCATAAATGCAAAGGTTTTTACTATGTATATGGAACCTTACCTGCGCCATTATCAAGAAGTTCAAGGGTTACTGCTGCAGCACCATCCTTCTCTATGGTGGCTATCACAGTTGCGCCAAGAACAGGCAAAAACCCTTGGCTAACCTCTGCATAAACAACAACTGGATTAAATGCTCTATTTGCCCTGTTCATGTGAGCTGCAATGCTCACAGGAGGAACATCAGAATATGCTGGTCGAGAGGTAGCAGTTACTGATATAGCTTGAGTTGCTGTATGAAGATTTTTAATACAAAACTGCCAATCACCAAATAAAATATAAAAATATAAAAAACTAGGGAAAAAGCTTCATATTCTATATTCAAAATAAAATATAAAAATATAAAAAACTAGGGAAAAAGCTTCATATTCTAACAGGACCATTGTTTCCCTTATATAGTAAAAAATTAATTAAAGAAAAGCTGTATGCTAGTCTATAAGACATGTTAATTCAGAAAATAAAAGAAAATGTTCAGTCTTTACCTCTGCAGTGCCACTTATACTGAGTCTAGCTGTGTTTGGGTTTGAATTATCAATCGTAAAGTCTGAGCTTCCATGTTCTTTTCCTTTGGGGTCCCTCAGGAAAAAAAAAGGCTGAGATAGACTCCATGCAATGCTGAAGAAAGTGTCATTTCCCACAGTGCTGTCAACAGGCACAGTAGTATTCATCCATCCAGAATGCTGAACAAGTAGCTCTTTGCTTTCAAGCTGTTGTTAGAGAAATAAAATTTGTCTTATTGCTATTAGTAAAGAAGCATTTAGCATATTTTCAGTGATTCCTCATCCATTGCACAATATTGTATTAGTCTTGGAGAAGAGAATTGAAAAGCATTTATGCCTTTTGAAAACTAGCATGAAAAAAGGTCTCTGCTTACTTATTTGTAACTCAGAGTTATATAGAGAAGATGGCAGGCTTTCTAGTTCTGCTGTCTCTACCTACAGGAAAATTAAGAGCCATTTGGCACAACTATTGAATGAAGAAAACTAACAAAATCACAAATTCCCTTTATGAAATGGCTGCTTGCATAGTAACATTGATTTTAAGTGTAAAATTATGGTAAACAGAATAAGTTACAGTAAGTGTAAATAAAAGTCCTTCATTTCTGTCTCTAAACTATTTATCTAGCTATCTAAAGCATTGTGCCAGTAAGCTGTATTTCCACTGCAGTTTGTCCGTCTCAAAATCCTGGGAGAGAGAGAAAGAAAATGTCTCCATGTATGACTATAAGGCTTATAGGTAATGAGAGACAGAAATAACAACAGAACAGAGGAGAATATATAGAAGAAAGAAGTAAACAATATTTCCTTTATTAAAATTAAAATAATTTTGTGTAATTTCCTCACTCCTATTTTATGAACAACAAAGTCTGCAATTAGAAAATACCCTGTCATAAACTTAATTTTTTTCCCCTGTATAGGTGGGACAGAAGAGTCAATTAAAGGCGATATAGCAACTTAAAAAATCCCAGACCTTTTCAAACCTATATTGACTGCTGCTTATAATGTAGCTATCTTTGCGAATGGTATATTTTGGATAAAACATAGGACTGGATCTGTGTTAAAATATTAACAAAGTGAGGAATGAGTTGCTAAATTCTAATTAACAATTGGCCTAGATGAAAAGTCTAAAAGTTTATGCATTCAAATGATACATATGGCTTAGGAGAAAAGCTGTATTTTAATTGTATCTTTGTTACTTAAGTTAGACTGTTAAAATGCTCTAAAAGATGTTTCATGTAAGAGTGAACTAAACATTCTGGGGGAATTTCTGCTTGCTTTTTTCTCTCAAAGTCTCTTGGACTTTGACAATTATGAGAAATAATTTTCTTGATTTTGTGAAATCAAGAATTATATAAATTATGTAAATTATCTATTTCATTGCAGTGAAAAGTAGGAGATCACTAAAAAATGTACTTGCTCCTATTTCCAAATTGAGCCACTGACAATTATGATCATTAATGTCTAAATTCATTCAATTACAGATCAACGCATGGGAGGAAAAGGAAGTGTTGAAATTCAGACCTGAATAGATTGCTCAGAAATATCTCCGCTTCCTGATGTAATTGCACTGAATGTCATAGTTAATTTATTGTGGACGGCTCCATCTACAGCATAAAGCTTTAAACCTCCTGAAAGACAAGAGCAAAAGAATTAGAAATACTATTTTTTACTTTAAAATTGCTAAATTTTATGTGACTTCTGGTACTGAATGTTCTACTGAGGCAGCCAATTTGTTACAAAATCAAAAAAGAAATGTATCGTTTTATTAATATGTTAATGCATGTGTCAGTAAATTCTGGCTTGTGTGATCAACTCCTTTTATCTCTCATTGGCAAAGTTCGCAAAAAAATCACTCCCTGCAGCATATCATCAAGTACACCATGTTTAGACTTTTCCGAGTACTTTTGGAGTCACATATTATCTCTTCAGTGAAATTCTGCTCTGAAAATACCTCTGTAGAAAAGACACGGTGGCATTCCATGGTTTTTGACTCTTAAAATCCAGACCACCTTTATTTCCAAATGTGAAGTTTAGATCTCTTTTCATGCATACTGAGTTCAAGCAGCTCGAGTCCATTGGAGGTTCTCATACTCAGTGCAAGTCTGTTGATGAATTCATTGTGAATATGGCTTCACACTGCTCTACTGAAGCACCTGCACTTCATGCATTTGTTGCAGTTCTCTCTCAGACTCAGATCATATATGCCAGACATAAACTGAGCCGTCACTGTGCTCCTAATGCACAGGTCACTGGAATCCCAGAGTGGGGGAGAGACTGCTGTGCAGCACTGAGCCCCGGGGAGCCTACTTGGGGCGTGCAGAGGCTGTCCACAGCCCCTCCCTACCACCTAATGCCTCTCACCCCCGTCCCTCATGCACAGACTGACGTAAGGTGTGCAGGTTACATGAGGTGTATGGTTCTGCCTCATGAGAGAACACATGGAGTCGCATGAGCTGGAGGAGGTGTTAGCTCAGAGATCTATTCAGTATTTTTGGAAAATTGATTTTTGTTTCTAAGCAGGAAGGCCTGCTGGTTGAAGACTACATGCTGAAGGACCATCTGGGTTCTTTCTGGCTCACAAATCATTCTTAATAAATACTCCGCAAGTGGAGCTTAAACAACAAATTCTGTCTTAAAATACAGGCCAGAACAGGATTGGACTCTGGACTCTCCCATAGTCATGTTCATCTAATGATGTTGAAGAGTGCATAAGGGCATTCCAGGTTATTTAAATAAATTGCTAAAACAAGTGGATTGTAGTCTGAAAATGCGCAGCATGTGCATCTCTCAAATAACAATATTTATTCACCGTATTTGTTTGGAGTCAGCTTGCTTTCTAGATCTGTGCAAGGAGCTTTCATTCTTCCATGGCATTTGCAGGTGCTGTAGCATGAAGCAACACACCTATGGATGGTTTTTAAATGGTTGTTTTCAAACTAATTATGTAGCTCCAGCTCAGCTGACAGCTATGCTTCCTGATGACAAGGGTAGTCACTGTGGTTACAATTTCCTAGCCAGTGCACTTCAGCCACAACAGTTGGAGAAATTATTCTTTACGTAATAAAAAATGCTTATAAGTTAAAGCATATAGAAAGTTCTAGTCATTGCATGTAATGCCAGAAATAAAATTCTAGACATTTCTTTTTATGTTATATAACAATATCATAATTAAATCTCCTTAGTAATAGGGTATTGTCATGTTATTGCATTTTTTAAATCAAGATAGCTCTTAAAGCAAGTCTATGGATCTGAACAGTTCTGCTTGTTCATATTAAAAATGCCAGTCATGAAAACTGAATTTCTTTAAAATTAAATTTGTTTTAAATTTCTTAATTTTTTTTCCAGACCGATGAATTGCCATGCTTTTACATTTTCATACTTGAATATGCATGCCAGAGGAAGAGTGCATTTAGAATATTTACCCGTTAGTGTTGAAAATTCTTCTAATTCTTTGGCTGCCAATGGCCCCACTGCAATGGTGTGAATTTTTGCCCCACTTTGTTTCACCAAATCAAGGCAAGTTGCTATACCTGAGTCCTCTCCATCTGTCAGTAACACAATTTCTGAACCATACGTAGTGTTCATTTTATCTGCAATTAACTGCATCAAGAAAAGAATTCATGATATAAGCAGCAGAATAATTTTTAAATACTAGTTTATCCCAGAGCACAGTCAATGTATGCATTTAAAACTGTTAACTTCAAATATAGGACAAATTTATTCTTTAATAAGTGTTTGAATTTTTATTTAACACTAAAAGTATTACAATATTAATTATTGCAATTGATATTGCAACATCTAATTGCTTAGATTTATTAAGTGTTCAATTATAAATAATGACTATTTGATATATGTTTTCCTAGGGAAGGAACCTGTCCCAAATTGACGATGTCAGAAGCATTCTGCCTGTATGTGCTTTGCTGGTTCAGGGCTGGATGTTTAAAGGCATCGTATTAAAAACTTCTGTTCACTGTCTGGAACAACTCTTCATTCTCCAATCAAAATTTCAGGAGTAGAGAAGGACAGACTTCTGTCTAAGGGTGGATTCTGAGGTAACTGAAGGTGGGACAGAAAGGGGTAGGGAGCACCCATGGGGGAGGCCTCTGTCCTGGCTGTTCCATCCCTGTCTGGTTGCCAGTCTTCCTCCTGATGTCCCCCTGTCCTGAGCCTCCTCTCGGCTACCTCAGCAGTCTCATCCTTCTCTGTACAATTTCTCTCTTTTTCTTTCCTCCCTTTTCCTACACGTTGCTCCTGATTTTCAGTTTTGCATCTGAATTAGGTGACATCTTCTGGGACTTCAGACTGCCAGCCCAAGGAAGTAAAACAGACAAATAATAATATCTATCCATCACTGTTTCCCAATCTCATGATTTGTATGTGGTTTCACAATTTTAGGGGCTTGATTCATGACTAGTGAGCTGTGGGAATTAACAATACTACCATTGTACAGCTTCCCATTTTAACACTTACTTATTCTATATGTTCATTGTGATTCATGAGTCAGATCTCTGGTGTTTCCTCAGTCCACATTTTGCTAGAACAAAATCTTAGAAATCACAGGAATACAATATGATGTTCATTGTTGTGTTGGTCTGCAGCCTCTTCTCTCTATATACACCCAGCAATGTGATCGGGCTGTGAGTTTATCCGGTCATGTGAAAGTTTGACTGCAGTACTGCATATTTCTTTCCACTAGAAGTTATTAAAGAACTGTATTAAAGTAACCCCTTAACTATCTCCTAAACAAACTTAAATAGAATAAGCGTCATAGGTTTCCACCTAGAAATCTGATTTTCCAAAATTTAGATCATTCTTGTAGTTCATTTTGGAATTTGATCTTATGTTTCAATATCCTTTTTGAAGCATGGGCATCACATCTGGCCTGTTTTCTGGTAATACTCTTTCTAATGCCATATAATGGTAATGCCAAATAGTTTCTATACCAAATTGTCTCTCTATACCAAATCCTCTATCGATTCAAGAATCATGCTATCTTTCTTAACTCTACCATTGCATAGGAAGTCCATGTTCAGTAGGCTATCAAGTATGTTTCGCGCTTCTTCCTCCTTTTCCATACATTCCAGGAGGTATTTCCACATTGTACTTTACCTTAAGCCCTTTACGTACACCTGCACAGATACTGGTTTTTCCACTAGCAATTATAGGCAAACATTGAACAAGTTTTTGGCGTGCTGCATCATCGGTTATTTGTTGCAAAGGAGCTTTTTCAGATGCGTCGGAGTCAAATGTGACAATTGCAACCCAGGAACCAATTTCAATAATATGGAGCAGAAATGCCTCTGCAGCGCTACGGAGATGTCTGATGCGGTCGTGCTGTATGTGAAGAAAAACAGCATCCTTAGAATGCAATCTCTTCTGAAAAGCTTTGACTATGAACAAAATATAGGAATTTTTGATGTTGATCAGGTTGTAATTAAAAATTAAAAACTATCTGCCATAAGGTAACTGGTATGTATGCTCAGTTCTAGAAGAGAGGAGATGTAAACCATGTTCTGGTATTGTGAAAGCGCAGCAAACTGAAGCTTCCAGGAAAGATGTCACCAGGCAAAGTCTATCTTCTGATGTTATGACTTTATTCCTAATCAAGATTTTTTTCACTTTTTTTTTTGATAGCATGATTGTCAATGCAAAAGGACAACACCTACGATGCCTGAGGAGTAGGTTACTCTAGAGACTAAGTATTTTGAAAATATACATAATATTAAAGTAAAAGTATGGCTATTTTAAATGCAAATATTCAAAGGGATTACTGCAAAAAAAAAGTTATATTTGAAAACATCTCTGGAGCTAGCTATTCTTGCAGTATTTAGTTCATAATTATCTTCGTTTTTGTTTTTAGCATTACATCATTATTTACTAACTGATTTAATAAAATGCACTATGATTGGTAGACATCTGTATTATAAAAATAATATAATTTATTACAATTGCAGATCTTTGCTGAAGATCAGTCTCAAGAACAGCTCTGGACTAGAATGGCATGTCTGGAAATAGATCCATTGATGGAGCACTATGGGAGAATCCCACAATTATTATTCTATGTATGCCATAACTAAAGAATTGGAGTATATACTGCTTTATGCTTCTCCATGTATATTTTGGTTTAAGGTATGACTGTCAAATATTTAAGAATATTTCTCAACATGTTTGAGCTTTTTGAATTACCTTCTTTAGATGAATAGTCTTATTTTTAGGCTTGAATTCCTGTGAGAAATGAAACACTGAACTTGCAGAATTTTCAATAAGAGTAATGGTCATTGGCTCACTACTGAACTGTGGAAGAGGTAAGTCACGGATAAGAAAATGCAATATGTCATCAAAAGAATATATAGGCTGATTTTTAGAAGCTGTTAGAGTATGCATAGAGGTTTGAAGTCTATTAATAAATCATGAGATAGCTGCCTTACCTACCCAGATAATTTTGTCATCTTTCTACAGATGATCACATTGCTTACAGCTTTATAAAAGTATTAGGATATTTATGCAAATAAGCACATATTCAGGGACATTTACTAAACCTTGCATCCATAAACAAGCTTAGTATCTCATGCCACAAGAAGTTGTGAAAGAATAGACCTATGCAAAGTTTTATGGGGAAAAGAAAAAAGGAAAAATAACCTCAGCCTTGTTAAAATGACATAACATTATGCCAGCTCACGTTCTTGATTCCAAAGAGCAATATTGTAATGAGGAAAGAACATCTAATTTATTGACATATTGTGACCTACATATTTACTTTAAATTTTAGACTCATTCACAACAAAGATAGAATGTGAAACTCCATCTATGATACATTTTCTGCTTGGAAGAAATACGACGTCACTCTAGCTCTGGAACAAGGGAAGGAAGATATATAAAACTGAGATTTTACATGAAAAGAAAGACCAAGTCTGGCCTAAAACTCAGTATTTTGAAGTGATATCTTGTAGGAATTCCTAAATAAAATTACCAAGGAGAATATGAGTAGTCCTTTTTTCTTCTAAAATAATCAAGTTAATTACAGAATTGACTGATTTTTTTTTTAATTTTGTAACTTTTTCTGTTTCTTACAGTTTTTGCTAAAAATTGCTTATAAAATGCGTATTCTTACCATTGACATGCTCCCAGAAACATCCAGTACTAAAGCAACTGCTCTGTCTTGGGTCTGCAGTAGCCTGAAGGTAGTCTCAGAGGGCAGTGCAGAAGCATTTACAACAGCTGAGTTCCGAAAGTCATCAGATTCCATAATTACTTCCCACGTGCTTTTGTAGTTGCACATCTTATTCTGCATATTTGGAGCCTCACTATTGTGAGTGTTTTTATCACAAAATTCAACCACCTAAAAAGTCAGATTGAAGCTGATAATAGTTCTGAACCCAACAGTATAAGCATAAGAAAATATCTCAGAAAATAAGAAGTTTGTGGTAGGGGACAGGACAAATGGAGGTGGCGTTCTCCAGCAAATATCCTCTGTGCCATGGTGCCTGGCCACCAGGATCTTAGAAGAGGCAAGCAAAGAAAGTGCTCCCAAAGAACTTATCTCAGATTTTACATAAGCACAAGCATGTTGTGACATGCAGAAACAAAGCTTTCAGTCTATGAGTACTGAGGTCCTCGGAATGACTGATTCATGGAGGTCCTACTAGATTTAAGCCTGCTAACATAGATACTGGACCTGAACAGCATGGAGGTCAGCCCAAGTTAGCAGCCTGAATATTTAACCAACTTCTTGGGTTAAGCTGATGGTCTTGCACCAGTTCCTGTAAGTTTTCTTGAGTGGAATAAGGAAACATGCAAAAGGTACGAAGTCAAGATTTTGAGAGAAGCAGGAAATAATCTTTTAGATGTCTCAGGATGTCCACGGCATACTGCTGAGGGAAGATCATGACCAATTGTTGTGGATTAACCCCAGTGGGCAGATAAGCACCACACTTCCTCCCCCTCCCCAGTAGGAAGGGGAAGAAGAAAGGAGGAATAAAAGAAAAACAACTTTAGGGTCAAGATAAAACAAAACAAAGCAAAAAAAAGTGTTTAATAAGTGAAGGATAAGTGAAAGAAGAGAGAAGAAACAAAACAAGTTATGCAAAGGCAATCACTCGCCACCTCCCGTGGGTAGACCAATGCCCGGCCAGGTCCCGAGTGTAAGATGGCTAACTCTCCTAAAACCCCCTCTTTTCCCTTTTATTGCTGAACATGACGTCATATGGTATAGAATATCTCTTAGGTTAGTTCGGGTCATCTGCCTGGTTGTGTCCCCTTCCAGCCTACCGCGCACTCCCCAGACTATTGAAGGGGGGGGTGGGGGCAGAGTGAAAAACAGAGAAGGCCTTGATGCTGTTCAGCTAAAGCTAGAACATTAGTGTGTTCTTGGTACTGTTTTGGTCAAAAATCTAAAACACAGCACCATATGATCCCCTATGAAGAAAATTAACTGTACCCTAGCCAGGCCCAGTATACCCGTCAAGTTCTCAGAAAGAGCTTGCCCAAAGAAATAAGGTCAACAGCTGGAGGAATTGTGATCCCGTACCACAGAGATCTAGCCTGCAAGGAGGCTGTCCGACCTGCTAACCCCTGTCCCAGCACCCTCTCCCAGACACTGGGACAGTACAGAGCTGGCATGAGGAGGCCTGCCCGGTTGTCCTGGCTGCTTTCAAGAGAGGTGGGCTGCTGCATCTGAGTTAAGGATAGATAGACAGACCAGATTGCTCTGCAATGGAGTGTAATAGAGCTAACCAGGTAACACAGTTCGGGTGCCAGTTTACGTAAGGAGTGATCAAAAACTGCAGTTATCTTAGGGACAAGGCACTTGGCACGAATGCTTCCCTTTTATGCCTGTTGACCTGATTCTCCAAACACGGAGCCAGAAGGATGCTGGGACTGCAGTGCGTCGCACCCTTATTGACAGGACAGCTGTCAAATGGTTTACAGTACCTCCTTTGTCTTCCCTTTTGAACAGATTTTAATAGAACTAATAGCATCATGCATATTCTTTGAAATAGAAAGTAATTAAAGAAACACCTGACTGACCATTCTCCTCAGCAGAAATAACTGACTAGACCCCAAATGTTACCAAACTCTCAGTCCAGAAAGGTATAGTAATACTTACAGACAGTACGTATTGCAAATACATAACAGAACATGGGATATTTTGTCGTATATCTGGAATAAACATACATCCTTTTTCATATAGCTGACCACCATATCTACAGCTTCTTGCCTCGCACTTGTCTCCGCTGCAGTCTTGGAAAACAGGTATACCAGCCACACCAGCTGGACAGCTAAGGGAAGAGAAGATAGGCAGGGCTGGTTAAGAGCCCAGTCTGTAACTGTGTCTCAGAGGAGACCTTATTGCTCTCTACAACTACCTGAAAGGAGGTTGTAGCGAGGTGGGTGTTGGTCTCTTCTCCCAAGTAACCAGCGATAGGATGAGAGGAAATGGCCTCAAGTTGCGCCAGGGGAGGTTTAGATTGGACGCGAGGAAAAATTTCTTTACTGAAAGAGTGGTTAAACATCGGTACAAGCTGCCCAGGGAAGTGGTTGAGTCCCCATCCCTGGAAGTATTTAAAAGACGTGCAGATGAGGTGCTTAGGGACATGGTTTAGTGGGCATGGTGGTGTTGGGTTGACGGTTAGACTCGATGATCTTAGAGGTCTTTTCCAACCTTAATGATTCTATGATTCTATTCTATGATTCTGTGGTTATTTATTTGAATTTTGGCTGCCCAAAGCCAAATTGCTGTTGACACAGCACTGTACTAGACACTGCACAAGTACATAGGTAGGCTGTCTCTATGCCTGGCAGGGTCCTCAAACTAATCCAGAGATAGTTAGAATCATAAAACACTTGTGGTCTTTTGTGATCTTTGCGATAATTATAGGCTATGCAGGAAAGACATCCTGCTAATAGTTGTGATACAAAAGACTGCATTGGTATGCCTGAGCTAGGAAAAAAGGCAAGCCTGAACTAATTCTCTACATCCATTCAGTTATTGTCCCTCTTTGTAGAAACTGTTTAAAATCACGGTGGTTTCAGTAGGCAATTTCAGTGTTGTTGATAACTGCTATTTAATAAAATTATGTTAAATAAGTACGAAACAAATGGTGGCTGAAGTCTGCAGTTGCACACACAGCAAAAGATTATGCAGCCTCATCTCCTGAACCTCTTGCAAAACAGCACCGAAGGCAGCTGTGGTTTTCTGGGCTGTAGAGCAGGCAATAGGTGTTGCTGACTAAGCATCTTTTAATCATATGAACAGGTCATGGACACCCTACAAACTCAGCACAGACGACAAGAATATTGAAAACATTATTGAAATGTTTAAACCTGTGTAATGTAAAAGCAGAAATATAAAAAAAATAATACCTTGTTGCTTCAACACTTGCTGCCTTAGAATTTCTAGACACATAAAAAGGCATGTCGCTACTATATTCATCGAACACCCCCCACCGATAGTGAGCCCATTCGTGGACAAAAACTCGACCTGTTGAAAAACAGTAGCACATGCACGTTCTAAATACAACTGTTTAAAAGCTACTCAGTGTTTTACTTGGACATTTTAACAATTTAAAATAAATCTTATCTGAGGTAATACAGGAAGATTGTGAAATATTTAAGCAACTGGGATAATAATTTTTCTTTGAGGTAACACTAGGAAGGCATCAGTTTAGCAACCAGGACTAGAATTTTTATTCATATTTGACTCTCATATTTATTTCATATATTCATATATTCCTCAGAAATGCAGGAACTGTTCTAGAGGCTTTCTTCCAAGTCCGCAAATATCTCCTGAGGAAATTTAGGCTTTGTGAGGTTTCTGTCCCACAGAGCAGAAAACCTTACTGGTTTTGACACAGTGTAGTACAAAATCAGATACACAAACACTGGATAGTTTATTTGGTAAGTGGTCATAAAAGGAAGGCTACTGCTAATGGCAGTAGTTAAGTGCAGAGGAATAACCATTTAAGGTTTTTGAAGGGATGAGCAACTTCTGGATCCAGTGTCTGAACATTTAACTTCAGACATTTCACAGGTATTTACTACTTCTGAAGAATGTGTCTCTCAAAGTTTTTTTCATTTTGCAAGCAAATTAAAGTACCCAAATTCATTAATCGCTTTGAAAAATCTTGGCCATTTCATACAAACAGTAAAACAGGCAATTAAATTAAATAGCAGTATTACCTTTTTCTCCATAAACATTGGCCAATTTGTCATTTAACAGGAAGTTAGGTGTGAAATGGATGTACCGTCCTTTCTCCTTACATCCTCCGTACTGTAAGGTGTAAGGATCATCTCCATGTTTTATGTAAGGGTCTGCTATGATGACATCTGCCTGAAAAAGTATGACCAAAGTTATACATAACATGGGTGTAGAGAAGAGTTAGGTGATTCTTGTTGAATAAATTCAGTCCTTCGATTTTTTTATCCTACGAACACTCTCAACACTTTTGAGTAAGAACTTCCAGGATTAGTCCTAGATTTTGCTGTGATTTGTAATGTAGCCTTATCAGTCTAGCTTTTCCTTGTTGTTCTAATCATAAAGAGTTCTCTAAATCATACCTTATCATATGATTCTGTTTTTAATCTTGAATAGTTGATGTTTTTCTTCCACGTTTTAGGAATTATAATTTTTACAGACTTGAAGAAAAATCGATGTTTTGTCATTTCAAACAAGTAATTAGAAGCATTTTTAATCATGTTCTAGGGAATGAAAGCAAATAAAATATTAATATCAATGATAATATTGAAAATTTGGCTGTATGTGCAATGAATAATTTAGCCTTATCAAGAAACAGCGCTACAATAGAGTAGAACTAAGTACATAACACAAAACTAAGAAAGTATTACAATCTTCATTAAGAAAAGAATAAACAAAGAAGTTAAGGACTAAGCTGTAATTGTTGGAATCTCTCACCAGTTCTATAATCCTGCTCTTAATCAGAGATTGTGATAAAATTCACACTCTAGCCTCCATATGAAATGAAAACTACTAAATACAAGGATTTTACCCTTAAATTAATACTGGCCTGACAGCAAGTGTGGGCAAGAGTC